TTGGAAGTTAGTGATTTGAAAGGTCAGAACATTGTTAGTATTCCAGTAGCATATACCAAAGGTAGCATCCCTGTAACCAAACGACATATTCCTACTCAGAGTGATGTTAATCAGTGGCCTCATTTGAATGCTGTGAATATACCACAGATTGACGCTGAGATTGGGTTGATGATTGGAAATGCAGTGGCCGACGCATACACTCCACAAGAAACATTGACTGGTCCTAGTGGTTCACCGTATGCAACCCGCACCCGTTTAGGATGGGCAGTTTGGAATATGGTGAGAAGAACACACGATGAACAGAAGGAATTTGATGTATATAGAACAGAGGTGACAGCAGTGCAAGAAATAGAAGAACTCAAGAATCTAGAAGTATTGGTGAAACAATCTATTAATCTTGATTTCCCTGAAAGAGTCATAGATGACAAGCAAGAAATGTCCCAAGAGGACAAAAAATTCATGCATAAGGCAGAAAGTTCACTCAGGTATGCTAACGGACATTACGAGATAGGTTTACCGTTCCGTGAAGATAGTGTGAGTTTGCCAGATAATAAAAGACAAGCTTTACAGCGCTTAAAGTGTACAGAAAACAGAATGAGGAAAGATCCTGTATTCTACGAACATTACAAGTCATACATGAACGATATAATAGACAAAGGATATGCTATTAAATTGTCCAATGAAGCACCAGATTTGCACAAAGGAAAGGTCTGGTACATTCCACACCACGGGGTGTATCATCCCAAAAAGCCCAACAAAATTAGGGTAGTATTTGATTGTTCGGCGAAATACATGGGGGGTATCCCTAAATGATTTATTGTTACAAGGTCCTGATCTCACTAATAATTTGAAAGGTGTTCTCTTGAGATTTAGGCAGGAAAGAGTGGCATTGATGTCGGACATTGCTGCGATGTTTCATCAGGTTAAAGTTCCCCCCAAGGATAATGAATGCTTTCAATTTTATTGGTGGCCCAATGAGAACATAGATGGTGAATCTGAGGTGTACAAAATGGTTGTCCACTTGTTTGGTGCGGTATCCTCTCCGAGCTGCGCAAATATGGCTTTACGCAAAACAGTGCTCGACAACAAGGATCAACTAACACCAGAAGTAGTTGAAGCTGTGATGAGACATTTCTATGTTGATGATTGTCTACTGTCCACAAGCTCTGAAAGTAAAGCAGTGACTTTGGTTCATGATTTAATCGAAGCCTGTCAAAGAGGAGGATTTCATCTCACAAAATGGACAAGTAACAGCCGTGAAGTGTTGAAGTCTATACCACAAAAGGAAAGAGTTGAAGATGTGAAACAGCTTAACTTAGATTATGATGACCTGACTGTGGAAAGGGCTCTAGGAGTTCATTGGTCAGCAGAACAAGACACGTTGTCATATAAAACAGTAATACAAGAACGTCCTTTTAATAGAAGAGGAATTTTGTCAGTCGTAAGCTCAGTCTATGACCCACTTGGATTAGTGGGACCTTTTGTATTGCCAGCAAAGATATTGCTGCAAGATTTATGTTACCGTAACATAGGATGGGATGAAGAGATATCCCAAACAGATGCAAAGATATGGAAGAGATGGTTGTCTGACTTAACCCAGCTGAGGCATTTCACAGTACCAAGGTGTCTCAAACCGCCTGAATTTGGTGAAGTGAAGTTATACCAGATCCACAACTTCTGTGATTCAAGTGAGAAAGGATATGGTGTGACATCATATTTACGTATAACTAATGATAAGAATCAAAACCACTGTTCTTTAATTATGGCAAAATCACGAGTTGCACCTCTAAAGAAGGTAACTGATTCCTAGAATGGAGCTTACTGCGGCAACAGTGGCAGTAAGGTTGAACAAACGACTACAAGAGGAGTTAGATTATCCAATAGAAAACACATATTTTTGGACAGACAGTACGTCGGTACTGAGGTACCTTAGTAATGAAACAACACGCTTTCATACTTTTGTCGCCAACAGGATGACTGTAATCCATGAAGGTTCAGAGAAAGCCCAATGGAGATATATTGATACTAAGTCAAATCCGGCTGACGATGCGTCACGTGGCATGACTGTTAACGAATTCTTAGAGAATAAGAGATGGATTTATGGACCTGAGTTTCTGTGGAAGCCTGAACAGGAATGGCCAAGTAATGAATACTCTTGGAATATTGCGGAAGATGACCCTGAAGTCAAAAGAAATCCAGTTGCAGCAGTGACATGCCAAGGCTCAGCAGATATTATGGATAGGTGTTTGTCATATGCATCTAGTTGGGAGAAATTGAAGAAAATAGTAGGATGGGTTTTGATTGGTATTAAGAACCTGCAGTCATGGGTCTCTGAGCGCAAAAGCCTAGAAGAGAGTTTGAGACAGGGAGGTACAAACAAAGGAAAGATTTCAGTTGAGGAAAGAATGAAAGAATTGAAGTTGAAGGCTAGGTCTCAATCTAAAGAAAAATTGAAACATGAAGTATTGCCTGTAGATACTATGGAATTGGCAGAGAGAGAGCCGTGATCATACGTTCAGCAACAGCATTTCTCTAGAGAGATCATCGCTTTGCAAAAGAATCAAGTGGTTAGCAAGTCTAGTAAACTTTGCAAATTGAATCCAGTGATGAGTGGTGGACTTTTGAGAATCGGAGATCATTTAGGTAAAGCTGAACTTTTATATGATGTCAAACATCCAGTAGTCCTTCCTAAAGAGTCGCCTGTATCGAATCTGATTCTACAACAAATACATAAAGATGTAGGACAT